AAAATAAATATATATACACAAGATAGCTAAGATAATTATACTACTGACTTCTATTGGTTTATTGAAAGGAACAGTTAGTGCCTAATTGTTTGATCAATTTTGCATGCCTATACCTGGTAATCTGAACAAACTACTTTGTTTAAACAATGTGTAATATAACAGCCATTGTTAATTTCCTACCATCTTATTTTGAAATTCTGTATCATTTTTAATGTTTTTAAAATTCTCTTTAAAAAAAAAAAAAGAGTATGGCCAAAATGTAAACTTCTAGTATTAAAGCTGCCACTTATTGAGGTCATTTTAACTTCAGGGTACTCTACCTTAAGTATTATATGTGTTTTAAACTTCTCAATAACCTTACCAAGGTAATTGGCATCTATGTGCTATATATGAACCTTATGTACTAAGAAATTAATTTTTCTAATTCACACAAATAGAACACAGATGAGTAGGTTAATCTTTAGCACTGTTGGTTTTTCAGAAGAAAATACATGTCTATTGTAAGGTGTAACTGCTAAAAAACAACTAATGTAGGTCTCATTCATTTCAATAAACATTTACTGAATATCTATGATAGAAGGCATATTATGGTAGACACTGGGGATTCCTAGAAAAGGCCAATTCTAGCTGACAAGGTAGATCAGTAAACAATTATGATAATGTAATAAATATTACAAATTCATACCTATGATTGCAGCAGCCTGGGTTGTTTTAATAAGAGGCAGAGCGCTGTCATAAGCCTCTTTGGGAACATAGACTGAGCGGTCTCTGAATTTGTTTTTCTTCAGAATCTTGTGTAATTCACTGAGCACTCCTACCCACTTACTCTTCTCATTCTCACTGTCTGCCAGCATCAGGATCGAACATTTGTTATTAGGTGCTGAGAGCTGTGAAGCTGTGACCTGAAAAAGTTTAGTTGATATTCATGACATGATGCTGCTGATTTCATGGTATGCTGGTTTGACTAGCACTCACCAACAGCATGAGCATTCATTAAATGACACCTTTAGCAGAATTCACCTGTTCCTGATCAGAAGAACTAGTTTTAACAATAGAATTCATGACAACACCAAGGTAGGAGATACCATTCCAGATGTTAGTATCATTTTTATTTTCCTTGCTACAAAAGCACCACACAAAGAAAACATTACAAATAGTCCTATAACAACAACTGACGTTTATGATCACAGAACATCAGGTAGGTCTAAGTACTTTGCAAGTGTTAAACACTTAACCTTCTTAACATCTTCATAAGAATGAAACTATTGTTCAATCTTTAATTTTATATATAAAGAACTGTGATAAAAAAATTAAGTGTTTAAGGGCACACAGTAGAGGTCTGGGATCCTAAGTCCATGCTCTTATGCACTACACTACACTGTTCTGAAAAGTCATGAATGCTCAGAAATACTTATATTTTTTGTTACTTCATAAAAATAACTTACATTATCATTAAAGAAGATAAGATCACTTGAGTTAGTATTTTAGTTTGTTTTTGAGACAAGGTCTCATTAGGTAGAGTAGGTTGGCCTTGAAGTCACTTATGTAGAACAGGCTGGCCTTGAACTCCTAGCAATCCTCCTGCCTCAGCCTCCCAAGTGTGGGGATTACAAGGGTGCGCCACCACACCCAGCTCTTGAGTTACTATTTAAACAAAAGTTTATCATTCTAAACCTCAGTCAGAATAGTTTTAAATTTTATATATGTAGACTCATCTCTCTTGTATATAAAATATGTCTTGTTCTATATATATATCCTTCTTTAGCATCATTGACAATAAAAATCACACTCTGCCAATCAGTTGTAGACAAGTGGGTCTCTATAGGCTCCTCTGATGGCTGCAGAGAGAACAAATAATTGTCAGTCTGGAAACTAAGAGATGAAGCATTATCTCTGATCTTCCTTGGACAATCAGTACACATATACTAAGCGGATGGGCATAAAGACAGGGTAGTCTGAAAAAAATTTCTGTCTTAGTTTACCATTTCAAGATCATATGGTAAATAGCTCCAAAGATGGCTGTCAACAATTCCTCCCACAGATTTCATTCTTCCAGTCAAGAAGTGGAATCCATTTCCCTTCTCCGTAAATCTGGGAAGACTCACAACTTTGACCAACTGAATGTTGATGGATTACCAGGCCTTTTGGGCCTATTCCTTATAAGGCCTGGCAGCTTCTTTTGCTTTCCTGGAAGCCAGCCATCAAGGACTGGAGACTGAGATTACCGTGCTAACAGTACTAAGGCTACAGATGAAAGGCTGTTTTGGATATTCCAGACTCATATGAGCTGAATGTAGCCAGGTGAGAGATCTTAGCCAACACCCTACGAAGTGTATGGCTAACTCATAAAAAGGTGAAAATCATAAATCACTATTGGTGTGAGCAGTTAAATTTTTAAGTAGTTGTTACAAAAACAGGTAAGTAACTGAAACACAATTTTTAAAATGAAGTTTTAGTTTTATTTATTTATTTATTTATTTATTGATTGATTGATTGATTGATTGAGTCAGGATCTCGCTACATAGTTCAGGCTGGCCTGGAGTCACTATGTAGGCAAGGCTGGCCTGGGAACCTCCTGCCTCGGCCTCCCAAGTGCTAGGATTACAGGCATGCACCACTTTGGCTCTAAGATTAAATTTTTAAAAAGATAAACTTCTATTTTTAAAAAATTTCAGAAAACTCACGTTTGCCTAATTTTCCATGAGACAGTATTTATTTAAAAACTAAATCAGAAAAAAAATAAATAAATAAAAAATTAAAAAATAAAAACTAAATCAGGACTCAACAATATTATCTAACAAGAAACATATTTTTTGAAGCCATTTTTTATGCTTCCCACAGGTCTTTCCTTAATTAAACTTAGCATCAATTTTCTATATATTCAAGTATGGGATAATACAGAATACATTAAAAAATATAAAATCTGGTTGTACTAAGTAAGTTTATCATTTATATGGAAATGTAAAACATAATCATTAAAAAATAAATAATTGAGCAATCAAATTATAGGACACACTTACTCTAAATATACAAGGTATATCTTTTCGACTTGCATGAATAACATCAGAAGCCAAGACAGAACTCACAGAGAATTCTTCATCTCTGAAAGAAAAGTGAAACATTTCAAGTTAATATACAGTGCAGTGTGTACATGATTTTGTTTGTGCAACCAAATAACATGCATGAAGCAATCCTCAAAGCTGAACTGCACAGAACACTGAATTAAATTTAAAAAAATTTCCCCATTATAACTGGTAATACCTAAAGTAATTTGTTAAGAGTAACTTCACAGTGGTGCCATTATTTAACAGTCAGAAGTAATTGCTGGCTTATCCAAAGATACAGGTCAGAAAGTATCCAGGAAGAACTGGGATGTAGATCTGATACTGGGTCTTCAGAGTCCCCAGGGGACTTCTGCCTCCCATAATAAGTCTCATGTGTATTCGGCCCAGTTCATCTGACATTTTATTGTTCCCTCAACATCTAAAATACATCTCCTCCATGTAATTCATTCCTTGTGATTTCCTCAATTTCGTTATTGGTACTGCATTTCTCTTGGTCATAAAACTTGATAACTTAGTCCGATTTTTATTCTTTAAGAGACAAGGTCTTGCTATGCTGCCCAGGATAATCTCAATCCCGCTGCCTCAGCCTCCCAAGTAGCTAGAGCTGCAGGTATACACAACTGCACCTAGGCCTCCCTATCTTTCTATATTCAGTCTCAGTAAATTTTTCCAGATATTGCTGATATTTCTTGCACTGGTCTCTTCATATTCCGTACTTGTGGGGAAAATAGTATGTTCGAGAGGTAGGTAAGAAATGCCAGTGCGAGGCATAGCTAGAAATGGGGGTTCTGTGCAATGCATGGCTATTTCCAGCAGACATATGTCTGCGAGTCATGGAGGCCAAAGTGATAGCTGAAGCTATGAGAGAAGGTGTGATTCCTCAGGGGCACGACCTGGAGTGATGAGAAGAGGAAAAAGAAGGTACTCTAAGAATCTGGAAAATAAGACCAGAAATGTCCACGAGATGTCATATTTAAATGATTCCTGATTCATTATGTTTTCTAAGAGCTTGTCTGTTCTGAGATTTTTACTCCTTTCTTCACACTGGATTCTACTCCATGCTTTTAGGTGATGAAATAAACAATACATCTTAGGCTTCTGATACCCCACAACTTTTAAACTGGTCTTCTGATCCCGGGGACCAGCTTCCATTCCTTGGCTCCTAGCCCTACATACTCAACACGTATATCAGTATGTTCTACAATTACAACTTATTTTATATATTAATAATGCTACTGCAGCAATATGAGCAAATTAGAAAATCAACATGAAATCAGATCATTTAAATAAAACCATGGCAATCTCAAAGAAAAAGCAGAGACTTTATTCTCAAGCCACAATGATACAAACACCTTCACCTCTGAAAGCTTACCTCATGTCAAGAACTTGACTAATGACAACGCCGGGCTGAGATGCCTTTCCTTCAGCAATATCATAAAGAAAGAGTTTGAAGTCACAAACCACAGCCAGGGCCCTCTGCCATCCTTTCTTTACTCCAGCTGGCTTAGGGATCTTAGTTTTGTTTCAGACAGGCACAAACAATTCAAATGAAAATGTCAGGGACAGCCTCTTTAATTATTTGTGTAAACACAGAATAAAAACTTAAAGATACTAGACACAAACTTTAAATCTGCCACTTTGGTTGGTAGAGCAGCAGATGGGACATGTATGACATTAATAATATAAGAGAAAAAATGAGAACATATTCTTCAAATAAGTGAATGACTTTTGCCTTTTACCAAAAGTTTCAAATGGTACCATTTTAACTTTTAGAAGTAATTCCATTAACGTAGCTCTCATCACTTTATACAATAAAGTCAAGTCTGGAAATAAGACGAAATTCAGCTTCTACTGCAAATATTACCAAGGCAACAAGATTACATGTTGATAATATCTCATAATGCATAAGTATACTCTACCTCTTTGGCAAGACTGGAGGCCAAAAACTACTTTATAGAGATTTCAATATCTGTTCATTATAACAGGAATAATACAGAAAAGTTTGTGACATTTTACAATTTATTTCCAAATACAGGCTAAACTTTTGTTTTCAAATCATTATTCTGGATAAAAAAATTAGGTGAATTTTACTCAATTTTCTGTCAAGTACTGTGCAAAGTGACCTTATAGGACTGGTTGAAACCTGAACTAATGATACTCACCCTGACATGACTTTCATATGCTGTTCCTATTCCTTTCTGTGGGTCTATGCCCAGGGGACCTTTTGTCTGCTCAGGAGGAACTGGACACGCCGTTGGAGCTTTGTTTACACAAGTTATATGGCAGGAGAATCCACACACTTTGAGAGGGAAAGAACCCAAAACAATAATAAAAATCCACGTAACGACAACAACCACAACAAAATTCACTGAGCAGGGGCTGGGGATTTAGCTCAGCGGCAAAGCGCCTGCCTGGCAAGCGCAAGGTCGTGGGTTCAGTTCCCGGTACCGGAAAAAAACCAAAAAAACAAACAAACAAACAAAATTCACTGAGCAGTAACTGCATGCAAGGTACTATGAATGCTTACAGTTAATTTTATTTTAAATGTGGTTTCTGGTGTTCTTTCTAGCTCTTCATCCTACTATGAAATGGTATCTGCTTGAAATTTCTCTTGCAATTGTCCCTTATGAACACTAAGCTACCTAACATCTCTGCTACATCCGGCAAGTTTTACTAAGCTTCTTGAAAATAAAAATTTTCAATGATTAGAAAGGTATGAATTAAGGTTAAATTTTTGGGGTTAATATTCTATATACTTCAACTATAGGTAGGGTAATAATAAACTTTATTGGCATTTTTTATTTTCCTGTGACAATATGAGAGATACAGTCATTATACCAGTGTCACATGTGACTTGCTCAGGGTCACTGAATCCAGAACTAGCAATGCTGCAGTTCAAACCCAGGCAGTCTGGCTCAGGGCCCGCATACTTAGCTGTTAATAATATTGCAATGATTCCTTTATTTGATATTCACATGGTGACTTAGAAGATTCTAAAACAAGATGATAAATAAAAACAAACTGAAGTTTCAATAAAGCTGGGCTGGGTGAAAATTAAAGGTTAAAATGTTTAAAATGAACTTGTTGTTATAGTTTAAGATTACAATTTCTATTCCTAAAATTAATCTTAGAGAATTATGGAGAAAGAATAAGAAAGAAACTGAAGCAATATATCACTGTGAGAATACATACACATGGGAGAAATGGATTATGTATCACTGATAGATTCTGTGAAACTAATAGAGAGGCAAGACGGACTGGTACTGTCTAAAACTATGCAAGCTTCTCAATTCACTCAAGTGGAATGTCTAACAAGTTACAATTTGTTTTACTAATAAGGAAAAATAATCTCACTTCCAAAGGGCAATGAAAGCAACAAAGTAAGTATCTACACTGGATCTAATCCCCGGATAAATAAAAGTGGCAGGAATCTTTAGAGGCTGTACCACATTATCATAACATTTACAAAAACCTGTCAAAGGCTGGGGATATTCCTATGTCTCCATGGCTTTATAAGGTAGGCTTCAAAGATTTGAAGAAAAGACAGACACAGTTTCATGGCATTAAGATGCCAGAAGGTAAGAGAGTGCACAAAGATCTAAAAAGTCCTTATTACAAATAATTTTGATGAATAAAAGATTATCAAGGATTTAAAAAGCCAGGTATCTGCCCAGGATTCTTTCTGATAAACGGATTGCAAAATAACAGACAAGAACTGGCTATGGTCCAAAATAAGACAACGCTAGAAAGTCTCTGCCTTGGCTTGAGTGACACCTTCCTGATCCATGGTTCAGGCTATTTCTTCTCAGACTACATAGCTACCTTGTGTTTTGCTTTCTCTTCACCATGTCTCCCACAGCCCTGTCCTTCTTTCAGTCTACATGTGCTTCCTAGATAATGTCAGTTATATTCATGAATTAACACACTCATAGGGCTGGGGATTTAGCTCAGCGGCAAAGCGCCTGCCTGGCAAGCGCAAGGTCATGAGTTCGGTTCCCAGTACCGGAGAAAAACAAACAAAAACAAAAAACAAAAAACACACTCATAATCTCAAATCTTTACTCTTTAGCCGTGACTCTTTTCTTCTGAACCCATGTTATCGAACAGACTATTTAAGACAATGCAGTCTAAATCTTCCACTTCAGTTCTGAGAACTGACCAAATGTAGAATGCATTGCATTAGTGCGCTGTGAATATTTCCCTTTTCCTCAGATCAGTTAAATACAGGCTAACTGCAGGTGTATGATAAAGAGAACACATGCATCTGACGGGGAATAACGACACTTTTAAAGTCCTCTTACAGGACTTTTTAAGGTCTTTCCAACACTAATAGCAGAAGAGCTAAGAAATAGAAACTAGTATTAGAATTGAATTAGCAACTATTTTCTTGTCTTTAATAAGATATGGCAGAAAATCATGTGGTAGTTTTGTTACAGCCAGTGTCATTTGATTAAAAAATAATATTTCTAAAGCAGTCACAAATAATACATTCCATCATAATTTAAATAATTTTTATTTTAGGGGCCTTGGGACACATAAAGTGGTATCCAAAAAATACACTTTGTTTTCTGTTTCAGCGGCCCCTCATCGTCTCTCCCTCAAATCTTGGAACGTGAGCTGCCTCCATGAGGGTAGGAGCTCTCTTTCCCACATTCACTACTTCGTCCCCAGGGTCTAGCAGCACAGAGTAAGCATGTAACAAATGTGCCACAGACAGATCAATGAAGAGGTGGGGAGAAATCTGTTATTAACACTAGGAGTAACTACCTTTTGAGGCACAGTGGCAGGCATTTAGTATTTCTGAAAAGGCACAGTGCTGCCTACTTCTAAATGATTCCTCTCATAATGTAATTAAACCAACAGATCCAAGGATAACTTTCATGTCTTCTGTCACATAGGTCGCCAACATTCAATGGACTTTAGCAAGGTGCTCAGTTTATTGTTTACATTCTTACTACTCAGAGAAAAACCATTAAATGAAATAAACATGGAATGCCTTTCAAAGAGAATAAAGCTATTTGGTTACCATTTAGGTAGTAAATATTAGGACAAACAAAATGGCGCCGAAACAAGTTATAGTTTATTTCCATCTTGTTCTTACCTTCACATGAACAGCCTTGTCTTATCAAACCCACCATCAAAGAGGTACACTGATGACATTTGGTGGGAGAAGTGAAAGATTTTACAAAAAACTGATGAGTCTTGCGCTGTAAAACAAGTTGATAAACATACATACATTGATTATTTAAGGGTTTTCCTAATGTCAGTCCCTATGCATATGCTACCTCCTAGAATGTTTTCTACGTACAACAAATTCTTTCCGTTTTTATATCTTAGTTTATGCTATTTAAATGTTGTATTAGACAACAATGAGTTAGAGTAAACTAAAATAATACTGTATAAGACATTCATTAAATAATAATTTATTGTTTTGGTTTTGCTTATAAATCTTGGTTTCAGGAGTTCTATATATTCTTTAAATTATTTATTAGCATAGGAAAAAATGGAAACAAAGCTTTTGTAAGTGGGGAGGATAGGAAGGCTTGAAGAGAGGCTGGGGGAATGGAAAAAAGAATCAGGTTCTAAAGCGTACAGGTACAAGTTCTCGGCAATGAATGTGATCATTATGTGTATCTAAAATGTATCAATAAAATCTGATTTAAAAATTATTCTTTAGCAAAAAGTTAAGTGAAATTTTGTACACTTATACCTACATAAATACAGTTTAATATGCTTATACCTTCTCAGGAAGAAGAAAGTATATGACATTATTTCTACTGTACATCATGAATTTCATTTTCTGGGAGCAAGAATAAGTAATATGCTTCACCAGTCTGTTTTCTCCAAAGGAAACAGGCAGATAAAAATACACTCATATTATTCCTGGGACAGATGGCAGATTATAATTTCTTATTGAAAATCCAGTAGCTAAAGATTTCTACGTCTTGGCTGATTTACATGGCGGTAAGCCAAAGAGACTTCAGCTCTCTGAAATACCCTTGCCTTCTCCAAATCACCTCTTAGCATGTTTTGCTTATGCCGAAATTACAACTGCCCTTTCTCTGCACTGCTGTGTGAACTCAGGAGCAAGTTACATTTGAGTCCTTCCTGTTGCACATTCATCATAACGTAGCACCCATACTAGTGTCTGCTTTAGGACAGTTAAATGAGTACTACAGGAGAAACCTTTCAAACCATGACTGGCATATATAAGCATCCAAAAACCAGTTACTTCTCTATGAAAACAAATTGGGCCAATTATTTCTCTTTTATACATGTAACTTAATTTAAACTAATAAAAACTTTTTGTATTCCAATGAATGTTAATTCTGATATTAAAAAACTGTTATGAAGTAGTTCTTGCTTCAGTTGCGATAAACACCATATTAACAAAAAAATCAGTGGGGTGTGTGGGCCTCACCAGTGATTCCCTACATTCTGGGAGGCTAAGGCAGGAGGGTCTCACCTTTGAGCCCAACCTGGGAAACTTAGTGACTAAGTGAGACCCTGTCCCAAAATGAAACAAAGGGAGGGGATGTAACTCAGAGCAAAAGCTTTGTGTTCAATCCTCAGTACTGACAAAAAAAAAAAAAAATGAAGAGAAACATTAAAAAAATAAAAAAACCCAGAATGATCTGACTACCATTATTATTCAGAGAAGAGGGTGAAACCTGGCACTTCAGGTGGTCACAACCTCTGATTCAACTTCAAACCATTCTGTTCTAGAAGTCTTGTAGGTCTTTGGTCAGTCTCAAAGCAGCACTGAGATTTTACTCTACTCTAGGCAGAACAAGGACTATCTTATTACTAACTTTGTAGTTGCTGCTGGAGTCCCTAGGCCCAACCAAAGGTGCAGACATTGTGCCAGTATTTTTCGTACACCTCACTTAATGGAATCAATACTCTTGGAAAGATACTGTCATCTAATGTTTGTAATTTCACATCTCATTTTCATTTGCAGCCACAAAGAAATTCTTTTTCTTATGTCTATGTTTTTATTTTTGAAATTAATACATGCACACAGTTGTGAAAGTAACAGAAGTCTAATACTCATAAGAAAAACGTAAGTATCTCTTTGCCCCAAGTCCATCCTAGAAACACTTTCTTTTAACTCTTTTAGTTATTCCCTTCCTCCTGTAATACATCTCTCCTTGCTTCCTTCCGTATTAGGGATTGAACCAGTGCCTACCACTGAGGGACACCCCCAGCATCCAATGTATAATTTTCATTGGTTTTATAGTTTCTGGTACAGTCTCAGTTTTGCTAAGATATTTCACCCTTCATTTCTTTTTTTCCTTATAATAATTCTTTATGGGTTTCAATTACGTCTCTTCATCTGGTCATTTGTAAGTGAAGTGAGCAAGGAGCTGTGAGCCAGGATAGTTTTTCTAGCCCCATGGCTCTAGATTCCCTTTTCTGTTATTTTCATAAATTCATACAAATTTTAAAATGACCTTATATTCTGGTATCTTTATCCCCTCTTATTATCTGGACTTTCTCTTGTGCTCCCTGACCTGCTCAAGGCTGAACCTACTCCTAAGCTGTTTTCTTGTGGATAGGGTTTTGATCCGGAAGGCACTTTGTTAGTCTGGAGAATTCCTAACTCCGGGACTGCCATTTCTACCTTCAATCATGTCTCCTCACACTAATCACGTAATGGAGCTTGCGAAGTCCCCTCACAGTATGTTGTTGCTGTTATCAAAACTTCCCAGCAGTACCTCGTGATAGTTTGGTAATTCTGTGGCTCCAAGGGTTATCTCAAGTCTCTGCTTTACCTCAGCTTTCCCTTAAGTAACTTTAAATACCAGGTATGTCTTGTAGATGCTGCTGATTTGTTTCTACATTTTGGAGTTCATGGGAAAATATTTTAATCATTTACTGTTTTAATGGGAGGGGCTTCAACAGATTCAAAAACTATGCTGCGAGCTGGGCATGGGGGCAGGCACCTGTAATTCCAGCTGCTCATGAAGCTAATGCAGGAGGATCACTTCAGCCCAGGAGTTTGAGGCCAGCTTGAGCAACAGAGGAAGACCTCATCTCAAAAATCAAAATAAGGCTTTTTTACAAAGTTCCGAGGAGCCTCTACTCACTGGGTTCTAAAGGTGTGCTGGCATATATTTTTACTCAAAAATGTTTTAGATTACTTTTTAAAAGGCATTTATTCATATTTCCACTATACTATACAACAGAATCTGTTAATGAAGACATGCCACAAATGCCTGAGAAAACTTCATTATTACTTTAATTTGCTTTCTCCCAACTTACAGTAATCTTATGACTCTTTTACGATTGTAGTTTATTACCTTGTCTTAGAAAAGCACTTCATGTATGTAGATATTAATCCTCTGCCCTCTGCTTTGCATTTCTTCCTCTAATATAATGTTTGTCTGACAAGTTGGTTTTTTAAGCTGTACATAATCTGCTTCTTTCTTTAGTTATCCCAGTTTTTGGCTTATGTAACTTTATTGTTAGGTCAATTTACACTCATGATCATTGTATATTTTGTATCTATTATTCCCTTTATACAGCGTCTCCTTTTGTACATTTCATTTTATTTTTTTAGACAGGGTCTCACTATGTAGTTCAGGCTGGCCTTGAATTTGCAGTGATCCTCCTCACTCAGCCTTCTCAGTGCTGGGATTACATGCATGTGCCACAACGTGTGGCTTGCAATTAAAATGTTTTACACCTTAAACTCCTTTTTGTAATCTGAGACCTGTACTTCCCTTTATTTTTTACCTTTCCATGTAACTTTGCTTTAAGCCATCAGCAATCAGCCTGTATCTGATTCTTTGGAGTGTGTTCACTTTAGGGAAAAACGCTGTGCTGCAGAGATCATAAGTAGTTGATCAAACAGCAGCATGAACTCCCTAGCACAGTAACGGAACATCCAGCTCAGTCTTCAGATGGAGCAGTGTCGGCTGACACAGACTGACAGCTACACGGAGGCCTGCAAAGAGCACTTCCTAAGTTAACCCTCCCCAAACTCGTAACCTAATAAATTACGAGAATTAAAAAGGTGTTGTTTAAATCTACTATCATTTGAGACAATGTATTACATGGTAAGAGTACTAGGTCACCATGTTTTCCTTTCTTCTTTTTTTCTTTCCTATATTCCTCCAATGAACAACATTTCCTTTTGTAGGTTTGAAAGTTATAGTATTTTTATTTGTTAATCTCCTATTTATTCCCTTCAATTTAAGATGCACGCTTAATTTCCAAAGTTAGCAACATTTATTTAAACATATTTATGATACATACTGTGCTAGACAGAGCCCTAAATTCTTTACAAATACTGTTTGTCTAAAACAGATACTGTAATTATCATCATTTTTTGATGAAGAAATGCAAACGGAGAGTAAGTAGCGCGCTCAAGCTCACAAGGCTAGCGTGAGACTACACTTTAGGGTATAGATGCTGGCACAGTTTAGGTCCTTACATTTCTTAACTTTCATTTTTCCTTGCCAGGGATTTGCCACAGTAACCACCAAGCTGTACCGTTTCCACGCCTTCTCCCCACACAAGACGAACACACCAGCACACTCACCTCACCAGACCCTTAACTCACTTCCTACTGTGTTTTATTTAGATCTGTTTTGGAGTGTTTCGAAAATATATTTCTTTTTCTTCGGCTTTTGTAGATCACAGTAAAGTCCTTTAAAATACCTATTCACCCTGTTTCCCCAATCCTTCATGATCACTTCTTGCCTTCCTCTTCTTGATGAAGCAATTCAAGATTATTTTTAAAGAGGATTCTTCTACAGTAAACCAGTAAACCTTCTCAATTCTTGTATACCTAAAAATATTTTTTTAACCTAAAAATATTTTTAACTGCTCTCATATTTTATTTTCAGATTCAAAGTTCTTCAATACTTGAACACGTTTCTCAACTGTTTCTTTGTATCTAGCACTGCAGTTGAGAAGCCAGATATGAACTTAACTTTTGTTCTTCTACACAAATGATTTGGTCTTTTTGAAAGTTTTTATAATTTTTTCTTGACCTATGATACCCTTAAATTTTATTATAATGCATCCAGATATTGGTTTTTCTTATTTGTACTTATTAGCATCTAATGATGTCTTTCAATAGACTTTTCATCTTCAATTTGGGGAAATATTAAGTCATTATTTCTTAACTTAGTCCCATCTCTAATTTTTTCTTTCTTTTTCAAAGTCCTACTATACTGATGTTGACACTACTTACATCATACATATCTTAACTTTCATATTTTTGTCTTATCTTCCATATCACTAAATTGTTTTTCTATTGTATCTATCCTTTCATTTTTTTAAAGCCATCTATTGAGATTTTTTTTCCTTTCAGCAAGTATGTTTCTTTTATGTCAAGTATTTCCAATATACTTTTTCTAGTAACTACCTTATCCTTCTTCATATTATTTTCTCTCTTTAGAATATTTACTGTGCTTATCCTAGCCATAGTCATGGTGAATAGAATGGATTACTGTAGGAGTGGCCTCAGTTTAATGCCTTCCTCAGGCAACGAACAGAAGGAGTACCTGGAGGAAACATCACTCCTTACTTGAACAGACTTTGAAACAATGAATTTAAGATAAAAAGAAAAAAAAAGTACTCTTTGCTACTTTTACCAGTGATGATTATTTCTACTCATAGAGAATTTATTTTCTTTCAAACTCTTTCTTTGGGTAGCTTTGAAGAAATCAGTATCAAAATTACAAAGCAGAAGAAATCTATTCTCACTTTGTGGGGTGCCATACTAAGCTCATAATAGATTGAATACCTTAGGTGGAAAGCCAGTTGAGCCAGGGCATCCCTTTTTCCTTAAGGTTGGTGTGTGAACTGGAAGTGGAGCACAGTCTGCAATCTGAACCCAGGAAGCAAAAAGGAAATAAATGCCATGAAAAACTGACTATTTCAAACATAATTAGTGAGAAGCCAAAGTAAATAGAAACAAAGTGTAAGTAAAGCAAAAAGTTCTACCAGTTAATCCCAAATTAAAGATCTCATAAGACTGATAATTTACTTTCAGCCTACAATATCTACAAATGAAATATCTGTCCAATTAATAAATATTATTCCAATCTGGAAATTAAAAAATAAATAATTTGAAAAAGAAAGTCCACAAGCAGACAAAGCAGTTATAGCTGGTAGCCTACAGAGAAATGAAGCTCTTTTCATATTCATCTGGATTTGCCATACTGATCTTTAAAAAAGTATCTGAGGTTTAACAAGAGTTATAATAAAAATATTTAGAGGATTATTTTTAAATACCTGACTTCGATATTTAGAAGACATACATAACTATAACTCTGATTTGGAATACAAAGATAAAAATTAGTGAAATTTTTGTGCAAAAATTAATTTTCCAAATAAAGGAGTTTAAGTATTTAATGGTATTGGAATTCTGAATTTCATACAAATTTAGCTACAAACCATATCTTTATTAGTAGGTAAGAGAGTCTTATTTTTATGGGATAGAGCGTTTTATTTTATGGGATAAGGCATATCTCTGCATGAAAAGAATCAGTGATTTTACTGGATGTTATTGTGGGAAAAAGGACACTGTTTAATTAGTAAAGCATTAAAAAAAGACACAAGGAACTTACTTTTAGGATGGTAAGCAAGCAATTATGAAAAAACAGCTAATCCTTGCATAAAGCTATAGAATATTTAAAAATATCAAAAGATAAATGGGTGGTCCTGCTTTGCCCATTACTACATAACCTCCAAAAATAATTATTTTACATTTACTATAGTGTTAAGATGGTATTCAGTTGAGTTTCTCATTTTTCTTTGAATTGTAATTTTAGTTCTAGTTTGAATTTTATTTACTTTTGAACAGTTGGAAAAACTTTTGAACTCAAACTATAAACTTAACATTTGAGAAGTATAGAAATTCAATAAAAACATTGACAATCTACATAAAAGTTAATGAAGAACAATTAACAGGGAACAACAGTATCATTAGTACACTATTTAAAGTTCAAGAGAAATTATTAAAATTAAGAGTCAAGCGAAGGTGCAGGCTACAAGACCAAGAGAGTTTATAAAGACCAGCAAAGCATAATAAAAAATGTATTTAAAAAGGATTCCACACACCATAGCAACAAAAATATAAGTTATCTAGGAACAAATTTAATAAGTAGTATGGAATATATTGGAAGTAATGAAACTTTATTGAAAGATGTAAAAGGATACCTAGCTACTACGCACATTGTGTGTGTTCACAGATGGGAATGCCTAATATCATGAAGACGTTGATTATCCTTAAATAAATCTAAAAAGGGATGCAATTCCAATCAAAAGTCCCACATGGAACTTGGCAAGCTAATCCTGAAAGTAATATGGGAAACTAAAGGGTCAAGAAGAAAAAGAGTAAATTGAGGGGGCAGGTGGATCACTATACCAGGTGTCAAGAATTATTTTAGGTTTTTAGTAATTAAGAAAATGCGTCATTGTAGGAATAATCCAAAGAACAGTGGAAGAGAACAGGGAACCCACCCCCAACCAGACCCATAAAAAGGCATAAAGGCAGAGTATATAAATCAAAGGAGGACAAATAAAGGAGAGTCAGTTGCTTATATGGCAAAAAGAGATTAGATCCTTATTTCTCATTATTCCTAACAATAAATTTCAGTTTGAGTAAGTTCCTAAATGCATAAGAGCAACAACGTAAAACTTTTAGAAGGAAATATGGAAGAAAATCTTTATAATCTCTGCATGGGATAGATTTGCTTTAAAAAGACACAAAAGGCAGAAGTCACAAAGGAAATAATAGGCAAAACTAACTACTTTAAAAAGATTTACAAGACAAATAGATACGACAAACAAAGTTTAAAAAAATAAGTCATGGACTGGGAGAAAATATTTGCAATGCATATAACCAACAAAAAATTAGTATTCAAAATATATATGGAACACTTCACAAAACAACTGAAAAAAAAATCAAGAAAAAGAATTCAATAGAACAATGGGCAAAGGATATGATCAGGCAAATCAGCAGCCAAGAAACAAAGACGGGCTGAGGATGTAGCTCAATGGCACGGCGCCTGCCTGGCAAGTGCAAGGTCCTGAGTTTGATTCCCAGCACCAAAAAAAAGAAACAAAAAGATGCTGAAGAACATTAGGAAATAGAAAAGGCTGAAATTAAAAACAAAAATGCCATTCATTAAATTGGTACAAGTTAATGTCTGATAGCACCAAGAGTAGATAAGAATATGGGGAAATGGGAACTCTCACACATGGCTGGTGGGTGTTAAAATGGGTCCAACCACTGTGGAAAATAATTTGTCAAGGTCTACTGAAAGCTGAAAATTCACACACCATACAACCCTGTAATTGCACTTATATATGCTAACCAAACTGCAAATTTTCCAAAGCAGATAGATACTAGGATGTTCACTTCAACACTGATGGTAGTGATGAAAAATTGAAAGCAACCTAAATATCATATAATAGAAGAATGGGTAAATGGTTGTGGCATATTCATTCAATAGAATATAATGCAGCAGTTACAATAAATGAGCTAAATGGACATGTACCTATATAAATAAACCTCAAAACACTTAACATGAAGTTGCAGAAAGATACAGGTGACATCTGTGTAAATTTTAAATACGTGATAAACATTACCACATACTGATTATGAATACAAATAAAATACACATGTAAAACCAAGAAAAGCAGAATTCACACCAGCTACATTTAAGTACGTCTGAGAAAGAAGACAGGGGATGTACAAGGGAGGATGTGTGAACTGTTTCTGGAATATTTCTCTTTGGAAAAAAATGGCAAAATGTTTATATCTGTTAAATCTGTGGGTAAGTTACAAGGGTATGTATTATATTGTTCTGCATAAGGTTGAAATATTTTATCGTTAAGGTAAAACTTCATTAACTCCAAATATTGAAACAACTGTAACTAGAAAATTGGAGGGTCTCATCAACTTAACCAATCGGAGGGTTCTATCTGAGGGACAGAAGTCAGAGCCTCTCTACGCTCACACTTAACGCAGACAGCTCCTCAGACTGTGTGTTCACTTCAGTGGGAAGTTAGACCCAGCTCTGGAGATTACAGGCAGAGAAGCTGAGGAGCTGTGCCTGAACTGTGTGACGCTCCATGAAGAACCAGGACTTCACTATGAAGCAGGATGGATAAGGTGAGGCAGATCATGCTCTTCTGACTTGTGTAGGAACTGGCTCTGTTGCTGTAACTGGCCAAGTGGCTGTTTAAAGCCATTGATTAATGTGAAATGTAAACACAGTAAGATTTTTGTGTACTACTAAAAGGGCTGATTTAGTTGACTGAGTGCCTATGGCTAATTTAGCTACTAAGCAGCCAGTAATAACGGTTTTCGTTTTAAGTTGTGCTTATGATGTAATAGGTAAGTTATACTATGGCTTATTAAATTAGAAGAATTAAAACGTAAACATGAGAATGGCACCTCACTGCCATATGCCTACAGAGTTTATGGTAATTCCAACATTTACATAAATCCTCGGTTCTACAGTTTTCTAAGTAAAAAGACTATACAGTTAATAAAATTTTTCACCCATTTCAGGTGATTATTTGGAAACAATTTTCTGCTTTATTTTCCATTCCTATATACATTATCAGTTAAATGTAATGATCTCCAGTAAACTGTAACTTATGACACAATGTATTTGATTAGACAGAGTTCCGTTTTTTTCAGTTCCCTCTTTCCTGACAAAAGTGTAAAATTGGAGAGCAAGGCTGCTCCAATGAGGCACCTTAACTGGCTCAGCTTCACTAGATGTGGAAGGAGATGTGGACCTTGACTGGTTGTAAAACTTGATGCTCGGGTTCCGTACATAAGAGTTCTCAACAGGATCAGTCTAGGAAAATAAGTCAGGAAGAAAAAACCCAAGAAATCACTTTTAAACAATGCGCAGCTCTTAGCAAATGTCTGTAAGGCAGAATCATGACAACATTTCTTGAGAAACAAGGATAACAAACTTTAGTCTGAGTATTTATGCTAGGGATGTGTCATTATTCAAAAACACTAGCTTTAATGTAAACAACCTGATAAGGCAGGAGCTTGCTGAGGTCTGACAGCAGGCTTGCTCCTTGCACCGTGGGATGACGTGTGGAGAGAAGGTGAGCAGTATGGATGCCTTCTACTGAAATTAGCATATGCTGCTTTATGTCGTTTTATTAGTATGTGATCTAACAGACGTCTGTAACACCACATCAGCATCCCTTACCGGGTCCCTCACCTCTCCACCCCAGCCCAAGTGGGCAGTTAAAACATTTACCAGTATGTTTTGAGACCCTCTGAAAAAGTGACATTATGACAGTGGGATGCTGCAGAAAGAAAAATTCACTATCCATTTAATTTACGATCACACAAATTACTGACGCTTAAGGCTTTAAACACGTATCTTCAATCCTTCTGAAGAATTGCTGTCATTTGTTAAGTCTATTCCTTCTAACTAGATTTTACTCTTCAGTAAAAAGGAAAGAAAACAATACAAATGAGGATAGATTTTAAAATAATTTTCTTAGCTGGCTAAGGTAGGACTTGGTTATATTCAGGAACTATTTAAAATAAAATTATAAACCAATACTAATTCTAATGAAATAATGAAAATTATATTTTATAGCTGTATGTTAATGTAAAAATTAATTTCAGATTAAAATCAAATTCATTTTCTTCTAAAAAATTAAAAGTAAATATCTTAGAATAATAATTTGAAGGTGAAATTAATTTAGCATATGAAAAAGTTGAACTATGCCATTTGCAATGATGATCTTTTTTAAAAAACCCACCATGCATATATAATTGAAAAATTATCACTTTAACTTTTTTATGTGTCTCATAAAGATAAAGAACACTTGATAAAGATGATTAAATTCATGGCAAAAAAGTTTGAACACCAAACTTTCAAAAAGTATCTAAGGCTTTCAGAGGACTACTAGAAGTAAACAGCTATTGACCTTAATAAATTTTAGTATTTCATTTCCTTTTGGGATTACTGCCAGCATAAGTAATATCGCAACTGTGGTTTAACTATAGAAATAGGAAAAATACAGTTTTACAGATTCATCAAAGTTTTAATTAGCACAAACAATACTGTGGTATTCAAGATGTTACTAATTATAACTATAAATGCTTATCATGCATTTTTAATCAATGGTTTATTCTAACCATTAAAAAGCAATTAATTTAATTAAACTTTCACAATATTCTATTATTACATGCTAAAATTAAAGACAGTTTGAAATTAATTTTAATAATTAACTGGTAATGATTCAGATATAGTATGGCAGTAAAGTAACAAATTAGTAACATTAGTTATTTCTATACAATGATTTTAAAACCTTAGAAACAAATATAATCATCATTATTTAAACCATGGAAGTTAAAAAAATTCTTTATGCATGAAAAATACAGCAGCAAGTACAAGCAATTAATTGAATTAATAATGCAGCATAAGTTAGATCTATCAAAAGCAGATATCATGCTGAAAGAAACTGTCAATGAGTCCTTGATTGATCAATATTGCATGTCTCTGTTTTCATGAGAAACCACTTTGAAGATATCAATGTGTAATACAACAAGCATTGTTAATTTCCTACCACTTTGTTTGTAACTCTGTATTGTCTGTACTGTTCTTTTGCTAATTTGTTAAAGGTTGTCTGTCTGTAAATGTTTTCCTCCTTTTATTTTTAAAATAAAAAAAGTAGGTATCAATTTAATAATGGAATTATGATTATAAAAAGAATGATAAAAAGGGAAAATAGTAAAGAACAATAAACAGCTAATATATACTGGACAGTATATTTTGATATTGTCCAAAGAAAGATGTTAGAAAGAAATCTTAACAGCGCACTAATTCACTGAAAACTGAGAAAAAGTAAGTATGAAATATTCTTATATGGGACCTTTCTTCTAGTTTTAAGCAACTATTTTTTCCTAGGTTTTTTTGATGAGTAGGCTTTGGAGACATCTACTGTATCTAGTATCATTTTTATTCAATGTTCTACTATACAAAAAAAAGTAGAAAAGCTGAATATAATGTTATAATAGAAAAAGTCCACAATATTCTCTTAATCAGGATTTTTCTTGTAAAAGATCTGCACAATGTATTTCGAGAATACAGTAAATCCCAACTTATGAACATTTGAGTTGTGAACTTTCACAGGTGTACTGTATAAGACTCATTTTGTTGGCTTACAAATGAATCCAGCTTTCGAACAATTTTCCCAGAATGGAAATGTTTGTAAGTCAGGGACTTACTGTAGTACAATAAAATAGAAAACTTTTTTCCCTGGTCACAATCAAGCACTTCTCTGATTCTTAGGCAACATACTTATTAAGAATTCCTCAAATTATAAAAAGAACCAAACCTTTTAGCTTTAATATGTATCAAGAAGCCTTCTCTCTGACCCAAATAATGCAGATTTGTACAAATACTTACACTCTAAAAAGAAACTTTATTTTAAAGTGAAGCTCTCAAAACTTAACATGGATTATAAATGGTCAATCTAGTAAGAGACAGCTTGCATATGTTGTTTGTACTGGTAAACATAAAACTCAAGTTCAGAAAAAATATTTATCAATTTTTTCTGTGTCATTTACTTAGAAGTATTTTAGAAGCAAAAGGCAAGTAATTTAATAATTTTGTATTGAGAACATTTAATCTTAAAACATTTAGTGAAATAATTATTTGTTAATTGAATTTATGACAAAATATTGTAAAATATTGTATCATTTGCAAAATAGTAAACATATCTTCGTAAAATAAATTATAATAACAAACTACTGAAGGTTATGACTAACAAGTGTATTACTATTTATATATATATATATGTATATATATATATGCACATACATATATCATATGGATCTGAATATCTACTCTAGAGAATTATAACTGTTCTAAGAAAACACAACAGAAGGTTAAATCACTCACTGGCTTTTTATAATCTCTGCTCCAAATTCTAAAAGAATAATCTGAAATGAGACATTCAATGTTTTTCACTACTAATGGAAGCGCTACAGAACCCTATCTATTTTTATTTGGACATTTAAAATACTATTCCTAACAAATCTTTCTTCTACTATACTTAAATAATGCCACTTATAAAGAACGTAAGTATTCAAACTGTAAAGGAGGTGAAACAGTATGTTAAAAGGATATGGCAAACATTATCTAGTGATACCTCATCATTTCTATGACATTTCATAGTGAAAGGATTTAGGTTTATATAGGTACTGCATACTTAATTACCTAAAATCATGGTATATAACATGAAGTCACATTCCACTTTTAGATTCAAGGCCACTGTTAAAGAATGGTAACTAGCTACACCCTAATGAAGTAATATATGTCCCAGGGACTACTAATGTTCCTCACTATGCCACTAAGATATTTCTATTTAATTACTAAACAATTCATAATTCTTCAGCTATCTCCTTCACACACATTACTACTTTCTATTGGTTGACTTTTATTTGTCTGATACATAGTCCAGGAGACACTGAAAGAAGCTAGGAAAGCAAATAACCAAGCCTACCATCTCTGTATAAAAAAGAATCATACATAATTTTAAGTACATGGACTTTGGCTAACTTTTGCTTTTGCATATCCTACAGATGAAAGACACAGAATTTAAAGTGGGACCTTATAATAGCCATTCTCTCAAACAGTTTTCCTTTTTTTCATAATTCACAGATTATAGCCTAGGTGGCCAATGCCTAAAGTCTGCATGGCATCTGAGATAAAATTAATCCATAAAAGAATTAACCAGAAAACAAAACCTTTCTAAATTATCTTTTCAAAAACAAGTAGTTATAAATTAACTCAATTCACAGGCTGATGATTTGAATCTAATACAACCGGCATGTAATATTTTGGTCTTCCTCTGTATAGGTTGGACAAAATATTTAACATATACTATAAAGTATCTAATGGTTTTATCTCGACAAATCCAAACAAAAATCAGTTGAGTCTGCAATCTCAGATCTCAATAATATCAACTGATCTCATAATTTTCCTGGACATAACAGTGGTAACTGAAGTGTTTACTCATTATTAAGCAGTAGTCTGAAAATGTGATACAAGCATTACGTATCTTCATTTGACAACCAACCCTCCATCACATCAGAAAAAGAACAGGCATCAATGAGACACCCTACTACCTCCCACACCTTTCACAAACCAGATCGTTACCTGATCTAGAACTTTCCACACCCAAGAACTCTGGATTTAAGGTGTTGATCAATCCTGCTGATCATGAAGCTGACAAGCAAACGTCAAAAACTTGTATCTACCACAGTGACTTTCCTTTTTAAAGTTACTATTTTATGTAGTACATAAAAGTCTGAGTACTAACACGCCTACTGCTTCTCTGCTAGGGAGTATATATGTGTGTGTAGCTACTGCTTTTAGGATGGAAGCTGATGTACAAAAATTTGAGACATTTTCATGTGAGATTCTTTACTCTGAACTATGAAAATCTTGTTGGATAGGATAGTGACTGAATAATTTCAGATTGAGAAACATGGAGCTAGCATTAGTAGGAAGTACTTTATAGTTTGCTAATAATACATAAATGAAGAATTTATGGGTATTTTTTAAATCTTGGAATTATTTTAGAATAAACAGAATTTATTATTAACATGATTTCCCTAGGTATATATCTACAAGATATTTAGGATTCCTTTGAACCATAAAAACAAATAAAAAAAATTTTCAAGACTTCTTGAAAACTTATTTACATAAAACCATAGTTAATAAGGTCTATAATTTGTCCCAAATCTTTTCTGAATTTTGTACAACACAAATTATCAAGTTTTCTTTCTAAAATAAAGTGTTTAAAAATCTACATA